GTACCTTTCTCCAGTCAGAGGCAGCAGGACTTTGGCTTGGGCAGAGAAAACGATGAACGAGACTCTCATTCTCGGACTGAAAAACAGAAGTGAACAGGGATTCGTTTTAAATAAACAAACAGAAGCAATACACTAAATGTCTCATTTAGTTGCACGTTTTAAATAATAACAACTAAAATAACCCTGTAATACAATACGTTTTATTATCCTGTACAAAAATCGGCACTTCTGTCCTTTGTCGTCTTTACCAAACGATCGCGGCCACAATCAAACACGTGAAGTTCTCAGCCTAGCTGGGAATGTGTCAGTGTGACAGACAGTGTTATATAAAGCTTTTACATGAGTTCAGTTCAGTTAAAGGGAATTAAAGACGCATTAATAACGAACCAAACAGAAGGGGCTCTTTTAATGTCAACTAATATTAGTGGATGACTTAAAGCAGCTTCTGTGGGACTGAGGAAGTGATTAATAAGACAGGAAACATGTTGTGGCAATGAGTCACGCATAAACACACGAACAAACACAAACACACACGCGCACACACACACAGGCGCAAATATAGTATAGAATCTATATATTTTGTACCTGTGACTTTTTAAGGGTGTTAAACGACACGTCAGACACTTTGATGCGTGTCTGACCAAACAGTGTGGCGTCAAGCGTTCGCAGTACAGCCAGCGCTGTTTACATTCAGTACCGCTCTGTCATCTCCGAGCACTCGCTCGCCGCCTCATGAATTATTAATAATTTATTTTCTTAAACAAACATGGCTGGTTTCTGAGTCCTGTACACACCGACGCAGGGACAAAGACATGGCTATGGTGACATTCCCCAAAACTGGGGGCAATAAAATTACATTAGAACTGTAATAAAAGACATAAAATGAGAAATGAATGAAACAGAATATATAAAACTCCATATTTTCATATATAGATATAAGCTGGATTTTAAAAATGACAAGATCTGACGAGTACTGGGGGAATTATTTAGTTTTAATATTATAAAACAATACTTTTATTTAAGCCAAAATAAACTACAAGTGCATTTCTTCACTAAGGTTTCACTATAAAATTCAGTTAACAAACCAAAAAAGCTCTAAGTAACCAGCAGCAGGGCATGACACACTTTCACTCGTCCTCACTACTGAAATCAATCACAAGGGCGTGATGGGTCGTCGGTTAAAAGGAGCACGAAATATTGAGCAGGCAAATTAAAAATACACTAAACCTTTAGAGAACATCTACAAGGGATTTTTTATTTTAAAAATACTAGTGACGAAACAAATATTTCTGCCAACAGCCGCCTAAAAATATGATTACAAGGACGTGGGTTTGAGAAGAGACCGCATTGAGAGACTTTCATGCTAAAGGTGGCGTTCACTGGAACACATTTTCCTGTTAAATTAAAATAAAGAAGTGCTGGAAAAATAGACGTGTCAGCGTGAGGCTGGTGTCCTACAGTTTAACTTTCCAAGCATCGAGTGTTCGATGGTGTAAAGAAGACCAGACCACAGAAAAACTGCGAAACGACCAAGTCAACTGAAAGACAGAATCTCACACTGCGAGCTTGACCTTAAAGTTTTTATCCTGCGCGATCATAAAGGCAACAGCGACGCGATCGTCCTCGTCACATGTGGATTCAAATCAGCGACACAATTTAGGGTGAAAAACA